TGAAGAAAAGGCAATTCCTATGCCCTCTACCCGATCAAGTCCTCCTTGCCCCCTCCTCCACGCGTCCCAGCTCGGCAGCAAACCTCTGGCTTGCTGCGCGAACCTTACGGGTCACTGCTTGTGGTAGGACAAGGGCAGTGTATTCTTGGAGGGCTTGATCGAGATAAAGACGTGCAGTAGCAATATGTTGCCACCGGCCTTTGGCCAATAGCTGATCAAAATGCATGCCCTGAACATAGGCTGCAGTGGCTCCTCCCCGTCTTAGACTATAAGGAAGGTAGTTGAAGCTTTCCAGGCCGAGGCTTGCGTCGCTGACAGAGAGCCCGCAAGCAAGCAATGGCGCTTTTCTCAGTGAGAACTACCTTCTCACTCTTCAACAGATTTCGTTGTGACGTTTTGGTGTCATGCAGAAAAAGGATCGCTGACTGTCCTTCCTTTCGTGGGAGAACCACATCTTGCCGGCGAAGTTGAAACATCTCTCCTGTTCGTAGGAGGCCACAAAAAGCTACCATAGTTAGCTGGGCTAAGCGGGGCCACTGCCACTGCCATAGGGTTCCAGCAAAAGCCAGGACCAAGTCCGGACAACTTGTTCCATAAGGAAACCAACTGCCATGCGGCTTTTAAGCGTCCTCTGAGCTCTGGCCTTCGATATTGAACAGCGGCCATCACATAATTAGCCATTGTCTTGGGATCTCCTTCTTCCCAGAGGAACTCCACATATTCACAAAGCACTGATTCAAGGTCTGCTCGTTTCAGCAGCTGTACCTCTGGGCTTCCCACAAAGGTACTCAAGCCATGCAAGGCATCTGCATATCTTTCTGCAGTTGCCAGTGAAACTCTTTGTTCCGACAACCTTCCCACTTTCTGCCTTTCAGCCTTGCGTTCTGCCTTCGTGTCCTTTCGCTTAATCTCCCTTCTTGGCATCCTTCTCAAAACGCCTGCTTGGACCATCCGCAGGATTCAATCGGGATGCGATCCAAGCCCATAAGGGGAAGAGATTCAAGGCGACACACAAGGCTGAGATCTTCCGCAAAATGCGACTGATCTTTCTTGAGCTGCTTCGACCTTTTGTCAGCACAGCCAGGCAGATCTGGGAATCCGACAGGTGAAGAAACCTGCAGGAATGAAAGGAGGCCGATCGGGCCCGCCACTCTAGGCTCCTCAGGATGGCCCTCAACTCCAAAAGGTTGATATGCTCATCTTGGTGCCACTTGTACGATTGGGCTGTCTTCCAAACCCAGCGCCCCGGATCAACTGTCGTCCGGGTGACCGCATCAGGACGGTACACCACCTGCAGGTCCAAGCGAACATCACTTCCTCGAAATTCCATCCTCCGGAGATACTGGTGAATCAGCCGGACGTTCAACAAGCGGGCTCCTCCATCCTTTCCGAAACTATGTCCCGCCAAACGAAGCCATTGCTCACGCTTGGGGTTCCGGGCCATCTGCGCCTGGGCTTCTTCCTCCTCCTTGTCTCTTTCACTCTCGCTAACATGCGTCGTGGCATCGTCCTTTTCTCCAATGTCATTGAAGCTTCTGACGGCCATCTCCTCGTGCCACCTCTTCACTATGGCACTGGCTCCCTTTGGGTCAGTTCGGGCTTGCTTCTTCCATAGCCATAGGTCCATCAAGCAAGCCACAACCACAGCATGGAAGCTATTTCCGATAGCCGCCTCTCGAGCCACTGACTGCTTTGTTTTCTCCTCCTCCGTATCTGCCTCTTTTCGAAACAGGGCCAAGGTATATCCCGTGGGATACCCCATCAACCTCTCTCTTTCGGTCGCTGATGCCACTCGTTTCACCTCTTCTCCTGCGGCATGATGGAACAGGAACTCAGGTCTGTAAGTGTACGGCGGAAACTTCATCCTATCCTCCTTCCATCTGTCTAATGTGCTCCGATCACAGGACTGCAGCCCTGCTGGCTCCTTTGGTGGATTTCTTCGTGGAATGGCTCGGGTGAACGTGGGTAGCCGCAGGTTCTTGTTGACCTCAGCCGCCGGCCAAAACCACTGCTCATCACACACCGAACCCAAGGGCTCCAGCTCCTCGTTGAACTCTATCACATCGTAGGGCTCGTGGTGGTTCAACTGAAAGCTAGCATGGTCATCCAAGGCTACATTGCACCAATACAATCTTGGACGGCGGACACATGACAAGCATCCTGAGCAAACGTGCACCGGACGGCATCCCAGCTGCTGGCTCATTTCCCGGATGTCCGCGTCATCTCCAACCACATTTTCCACCATCAGGACCGACCATACTTTCATTTCTCGTGCCAGGTCCTCAATCCATCCCAGGATCTCCACATACTTGTAGAACAATTGAGATCTAGGGTCTTGAAGATGAATTCGGTCCACATTCAACTTTGATAGACCTTGGCAGGGGAGCCGCCCCCAGCAATCACCCCAGTGAGGCCTGGCACACTCCTCATGTACTTCTCAACCTCAGCTTTTGTCACCTTCGTGATGTCAGTTATCACATCGCATCCAGGCCATCTCGCTTTGTTCAGCCTTCGGCATTCAGGATCCTTCTCAATCACCACCAAATGATCCACCTTCTGTCCGGCCAGCTCCAGCGCTCGACTCAGGCCTCCTATGCCTGCAAAGAAGTCGAACACCAGAACACTTTGGGGTTCATCCAGATTGATACCCTCGCCGCCAACATCATCTTCTTCCTCCTCCAAGGCGCACATTTCTCTGAGACCACGGGAGGTCAGCTTTGATCCATACACAGAGCCACCACCTGTTTCACTGGCATCAGAGGCCGTCACCACTTCATGCAGTTTCGCCCTCAAGTCAGTCACTCTCAGAGGCTGACTGCAACCTGCCATCAATATCTCCTCTACTGACTTGGCTCCCAGTTCAATCAGGACCTCCCCATCCGAAATGTCCTTCCATAGATAGTCGAAAACTCCAAACAAAGGTCGACGGAACTGCAACGTGTGCACCTCTCGTCCCAAAAATACTTGCAATCCTTTCCGGGGTACCTTCTCTTGCCTCAGCAGCCAAAAGCTCAGCGACAGGCTATCCAGCGCTCTCTTCATCGATCCTTGAAGGGTTCCTCGATCTCCGTCAACCACGGCTCCGAGCTTCTCGGCCCTCCGAGCCCTCTGCAAGCTCTTTTCTTTCGAGTACGGTACCCCCCAATGCGCATAGGCCCGTCTCAGGGCTTCCTGTTCTTCCGAGCTTTTGCCTTCCAGGTCTTCGGCCACTCGTGCCTCCATGATCTCATAGAGGCTGGTGTCATCGAGATACAGAGACCATAACTTATCTTCCTCCTCCAGGTTGGGAAAGACGCTGTCTCGTCGTATCTCACACTTTCCCAGCAAACCTCCTCCGCCTTGCAAAGGTGATCGCAGGGCCAACCTCCTATGGGCATGCTGCAGCACTCCCACGGCCGACGCCCAACCCATTGGGAGCACAGCCGCCCCAATATAGGTTTCTCCTTCTCGCTCTACTCCCAGGCTTCTCCAGCTTACCTTTTCTGCAAACGTCATCATCTCAGGCCAACCCGGTGGGAGAGCAAACAAATAAAAGGCTGACACCAGATCATCGGCGCTCATCCTCACTACCTTGCCCGCCGGCAGAACCACATGCTGTAGAGCCGGGGCTCCTGTCAAGCTCCTCACATCTCCCTCAAGAACTCGGGTCGCCGCGTTTGTACCTCGAAAATCCATGATCAGCCTCAAGACCGGTCGCTCATCATCAAGGTACTTGCCCGGCTTTGCCACCCCGAAACTACCATTCACCAAGTATCTGCCACGCACAAGCACTGGCGCCGCAACCGTCTTCACCAGGCCTCGTCGGTACATCTCTCCCGCAATCTTCTCCCATTCCTCCCGGGAGGCATGAATTTGAGGCCTAGGCATCTCCAATGGCAACTCCTCCTCCGGCAATAGACCTGCAACCTCTAGGTATGCATAATTTTCATCGTTGGCTGAAACAACGGAAATTTCCATCGTTGGCTGCAAGAAGTGTCGTTGCTGAAAAAAAACGTCGTTGACTGTTGACGTCACACTTGTGGCTTCAGGCTTTTGAAATGAGTAGGCATTCATGCCAACGCTTCCTACACAATTGGCTGTGAAGTGTAGACTTCATGCTCCACACCAAAGCCAAAGATTCAACAATGTCCAACATGTCTAAACTGAACATAGCTAGACGACCATGGTGCCCTTCATCCTGGCCATGGGTTGGATTGGATAGTCCGGGACCTCAGCATTCCCAAACCCACCACCTCCCAAACCCGTTGTTTTAACTCTTTCGCTTCAACTTTCCCTTCGTCTTTCGCACTGCCAAGTACCTCCTGTGCACGGTCTTACACTGTATCAAGTAAAGATCCAGAGTCCTTTTCGCTGGCCAATGCTGACTGACCCGGCGCGACAAGCGGGACAGTCGCCCCACTGTGTCCTCGTTTTGCTCCGTTGCGAAAATCACCGGATTCAATGCAACAGGTCTTTTGCCAACCAAGAGCATGTGAAGGTCATACTTCTCGTGGGCCAACATATGCATTTTGGTTTTCTTGGCGTACCCCGTGTAGGCATGCTTATAAAGCGACAGGAAAGACAGCGTGTTGTACTCTTTCAAAAACAAATGCAAAGCCTCGTATGTTGCAGCAGCACAGTGCCGGCTGAGCCAGATACCGTGAGTGTACACGATCTTGAAAAAGCGCTCTCCCTGAACAGCTGCCTGGTGCATCGACTCAAGCGTTTGCTTGTGCTCCGGATCCTTCAGGTCAAAAAGGAGGCAGCGTGTGAGACAACGGAGCCAGGACACACATAGGCTCGTGTCGCTGCCCTTGCAATTGATCCATGGATAGTCACTCCATGAAGTAATGCTAAAGAAGAGAGAGTTGAAACTGCGTAGGGCGGGCGTCTTGCCCGTGCTGCAACACCACAAACTGAAGTGGGCGTGCGCCCGGCCCAGCAGAGCATCTCGGCTGTTGCTCCCATGACTGTCGTGAAAGTATCCAAGCAAGCAAAGTAGAAGCACTGTGCTTGCTATGTAGTCACGGAATGTGCCTTGCTTAGCATTATGAAATACATCGCGACGCAAGATTCTTTCTGGCGCTGCTGCATCAAATGGGAGATTCGTAATGGCTTGTGGTTCGTTGTCTTGTGCCCATGGTCGTTGGAAGAACATGGTTTGGGCCCAATCTGGATTGTGGGTTGTTTGTTCAAATGGCATGTCTGCCGTTCCAGCCATGCACTGGTGGCAGCACGGCTCATCCGGTTTCAACTGCTTGGCAAAGCAGCGTGACAAGTTTGCAATGGACTGGTACCATTTGAGGTCACCTTTCATCCCAGTAAGGGCAGCAAACACCTTTCCTTGACCAGTTTCCAGACCAGACTCGAAAAGCTCCCGGAAGTCCTGACATAGCCTACCCATCAATCGCTCGAGGAGGTCAGTTTCCTTGAAGTAGGAATGCGGTAGGATACTGAGGGCATACTTAGTCAAAAAGCTGTGGTGTTTGTAGTTTGAAACATGCTGCGCGAACAGTGGGATTTCACCAAGATCGTTGGGGGAAGCCATGAACCCTTCCCTCAAGTCATACCTTTTCGCTGTTGACTTGGACACGCAACAGCTCTCACAGCATCTGGAGTCTCGGGGATTTGAAGGATCCATGAGGCCCAAGACGGTCTCCATGGTGATGATGCATGTGTTTCCACGTTTCAGGCCGCGGCCCTCGTCCCCGTAGAAGGCAAGACCTATTGTGTTGCTGAGCCTTCTCTCCGTATTCCCGGAAGCCTCGAACAAAACATGTGTTGGGTGAATCTCCCGGTAGTGATTCCAAAAGCATTCCCAATGCTTGGCACCCAGTTCCAAATCATCAAGGCCCCCATAAAGAAGGTGTGGAGCTTTGCCAAGAAGAAATTTCAAGTAATCCTTCGGTGATATGTAGGGAACTTCAATCTGTGAGCCATCTTTTTTTTGGAGTGGCAGGTAGCTGTAGGGAATCTTCCAAGCTAAGTTCCATCTTCCAATAAAGGCGTGAGCCTCTCGGCAAGCATTGGCACCGCTGGATGCCTTTGAGGCCAACTGCCTCTCTCCAACCTCTGCTCGGGCTTTGTCTGCAACGTGTCGAAGCTTCGCCGCTGGGACCTGGTGAGAGGAGGGCGGACAATGCGATGGACTTGAGAATCTTCAATTGAGCACCCCACCCCTTCAGACAGAAGCTCTGCATAGTTGTTGGTCAGATCCCCAGGCTCAGGAGCTTTGTGAGAACCTGGCAAATTAATGAGCAACACAGGTCTTCAGACTCTTTTCGGGCCATGGTCATTAGCCCGATGTGATCAGCCAAGTCAGCAATCGAAACGAGATGGACGAATACCAAATTTGTTCTCGCCCCAAGCTGAAGAGTTCAAGAACTCTGCATGTTCACACGCAGAATCACACAGTAATTGATGACTACCATCGGTTGACCTTCGACCCACCAAGTCAAGACTGAATTATAACTACAAGTATCAAGAGCATAAAAGGAAAGGGAAAGGTAAAGGTAAAGGTCAACAAAACCCCTAAGTCAGAGACACGCACTACTGAAATTGCCTAAAGTGCGAAAAGCTCTGATCTATAGCGATCACAGCAGCGCTTCACTTGGCAGTGCGCGGTCGCTTGACAGGCGCATCATCTCCTGCCTTTGCTTTGGCCTTGGCCTTTGCCTTAGCCTTACCTTTCACAGCCGCCTTTGCGGCCGCGCGACCCTTCGCACCCTTCTCATCCTTTGACTCTTTTGGAATGAAAGGCCTGGGGTCATCAACTAAGCAACTAACAAGGTCGGTTCGGACGTTAGCCAAAACCTGCAAAGCGGTTTTAACTTAGAGTGGGACCTGGCCCGAGCTTCCAAAGCCAAAGATGCAGCAGCCCTTGGATCAATAGCACGGGTTTGTTCCAATTTCCCCCATGAAAGATGGACACGAACCAAGTGAGAATGCTTTTCCAAATTCCCCATTCTTCAAATACAAAGTTGAGCGAAAACAAACTCTTAGTTCCACGCTTGGCACTGGCTTGGTTGATTTGATGCTTCAGCTGTTGTTCACCCCTGCAGGCGCGAATGGCCAAACTAACTAGCATTCCATTCTCTTTTTTTGAGCATTGCTTTCGATGGCTGAGGGTATGACTCTTTGGTGTGTCCTGAGACAACACCCTGTGAGTAGGCATTCGACAGGGACTTGTGGATCTCTTCCAAAGCTGAGGACTCACTCAGCAGAGCCTCCCGCAACCTCGCAGCGCAGCTCGGCTATGGATTCCGAAGCGAAGTTGTTTGGGACCATTCCAACAATGACACCTCTGCTTTGATGGGTTGTTAGCACCTTTCCGGGCTATCCTTCATTCGTGAAAATTCATTCCCGTACCCAGTTACATGATGAGCACGTCAAGAAGCCGAGTCTGAATATCGGAGAGTTTTGGCTTGTTGAACTTTGCAGTCAGGGCTGCCAAAGACGAGATTCGCTTGGCCATGCATGTCCTCACGAGGCAGGATGGGATGGGAGACAGATGGCAACCTAGACGCTCATCCAAAACTTTCGGACACGGAGCAACTACAGTAATCCAAAACGGTGAGCAGGTGGCAATCCAGAACCTTTGAAGCCTTGAACAGTCAATTGAGTTGAGTGGCAAATATTTTGGTAGGCAACTGCTTGGCAAGGCGTCAGGATCCATCTCAGGGATTCCAAGCTTCTTGCGAAGTTTGGCGCCATTTTCCTGGTTCTCATCGTCGGACTTCGTGATTTCCTCTTCACCTCCAAGACATACATGAGAAATGGGAACTTGTCATGTAGGGAGCCACGACAACACTGCCTACAGTAACTACAGTGACCTGGCCTTCTTCAACCCCTTCACCAAGAACACACCCTGGTTTCAGTTCAAGGTCCTGGAGGCCGCCCTGCACATCCATGCGCGCACGATGGTTGATCTCGATCGAAGATCTCTTCCTGACTGACTGGGGACGAATGGGGATGTTGCTGAAGAACCAAAGCACCAAAGCAAGTGTAGGAGTTTGCCTAGAACTGAATGCTGAACTCTTCACTGCAACAGCTTGAACATACCTCTGCGTTCCAACAAGGGGCTTCATCGAAGCTTTGTAGCTGCGCTCAACGTAGTAGAGCGTGATGTTCTGATAGATGTCTTTCCTGCGGGGCCCAGCTGTGAATTTGTTAAGGTTCTTAAAAGCATTGTTGAATGGTTGCGCTGCGACCAGTTAGTAAGTTGCCTTTGCCAGGTTGGAAAGAAAAGATTTGGTGAATGCGCCAGAGCCTCATCAACTTACTGGGCTGGGTGCGGCAGTGCTTCTTGATGGCCTCTATGCGCTGCCTGGGAGCAGCAAAGTAGCGATTCACCATTCAGTCAAAACACCTAAACAAATTCTGATACAAGCCATGTTCTTTGCTTAGCTTTGTCAATTCCCATGTTATAAAATTAGAGTCGAAGCGCTCGCTAAATCCCCACTCGATCATGTCTGCTTCCGTGGCAAATTCTCCTTCCACAGTGAGCTCTGTGGATTCCATCTCCGACCTTAAGACTTCAACCTCCGAGACAAAGGTCTCCTCGGCAGTACCGCAAACCTATTGGTGAAGCTGATAGTATGGGTCAGGGCTACCTTCAATACAACTGCCCCCCCCCAAAAAAGTTTTTAAACGACAAGCTAGGTTCAGGATCGTAACCACACTGTTTAAAGATCATCTCAAGGTTGCGTCGACGAGGCCCCTTCCCTTTCCACTCATCAAAAATTTGCTGGCTCACTTTGAGCGAGCCATCAGCTCTGGGTGTAAAGATTCTTTTAGCTCTCTGCTTGACCGCCTCAGGACTGATATCATGCTGGCCCACATGGGGCTTCGGTGCGTTCGTGTCATTCAGAGCGGGGATCAAATCAAACACATCCCCATTGCTCGGTGAGGCTGTCGCATGCTGCTCATTGGAAATCCCTTGGCTCGAAGCAGGCACAGCGGGGGCAGTCCCTGGCGACAGCACCTGGGTGGGTTCGATCGAGTCCTTGTGAAATACCGGTTCACCTGGCAGCGTCTCCGGTTCCTTGTGAGATACCGGTTCACCTGGCAGCGTCTCCGGTTGGGAGTCCAGTTCAATCACCATTGGTTCAGGGGTGGATTCCAACACAGTTGGGGTTGGCAGGTCTTCCTCCTGTGTTGCCACCACATGAGGGGAAGTCAGCTCTGGATGTATGATTGCTTTCGATGGAGACACAGTGTCAACGGGTATAGCCGGCTCGTGTGGAGTCACAGGGTCTGCGGTCCGACCAGCCGATGCGATGCTCGGAGAAGCTTCATGAGCCGGACCTTGAGTAATCTGTGCGCGAACCGGAGTCGTGACAGGCCTTGGCATCACACCCCCTGTGTCCTTTGCCAAGAACTGCTCAAGAGCCTCAGTAGCCGGATCCACTCCCAAGAAACCAACTTGTGTTGAGTCATCAAAACTACATAAATAGAAAATACCAGATAAGGCAAAACCATGACCTAGGGGCATCCAGTTCCTTCTTCATATCTTCCTCTGTCATCTTACTCATTCGTAACAGGCGATGGTGCGCATCGACCGAGTCCATCACTCCAAGAAGGCTCGACTCACTCCAGGCTTTGCTTAGGAACGGTTGCAACATGGTCCTCTTCCCGAGAAGGTTGAAACTAGAATGACTTGGGCCCAGGTGCTTCTAGTAGCAAAACATGTAGCTAATGCAGCTGTTGAGTCCACCTTGCACGGTTTGGCAGCAACCTAGTCGTGGAAGTTCACGCAAAGGCTTCTTTTAGGCTGCAGCGACAAAGATGAAGCTGTCCAAAGTACTAGATGAACCAACGCTTTGGTCGCTTTGACCCAACATAGAAGATTGAATTGGCAAAATGGGCGTTGAACACGTGCCAAAAAACATATCAACAAGCGGGTCGGCAAATGTCGCCGTTGGGTCGGCAAATGTCGCCGTTGGGTCGGCAAATGTCGCCGTTACAAAAAAATGATTTTTTTGGCATGTGTTGATGGCCCTGCGCAAACCTAAGAAAAGAGGTCATCATCCTCACCAAGCGCAAGCACGACCCTGTTTTGGAGACTAGGTCCCACTTTGAGGTGTGTTGGGAATATTTCCCGGAACTCCCGCGGCATGCGAAGCCCCTTGCAACCCCTCACGTACATTAAGACAGTCTCGAGCTCTGCGTCCTCTAAGCTGGTCGAAGGTCTCTGTCGAAGTAGCTCCGGGATGGGTGTGTCCATGTCAACCTGAAGTAGCTGGTAGGCTGAATCGCGTCGGTGGCTTCAGGTGGGGTCAAAGCTACCACAAGGAAACAAAGAATAGTTTGCAGCTTTAGGTCAAGACACTTCTAGATCGAAAGGTGGTTCTTCCATGAGCATCCCAGGAATTAAGCTAACAAGCGCCCTGGCAAACCGAGCTGTATAGGTCCTGAATGCAAGATTGCTGGGGATGACAATTGAATGATATTGAGATATTGTTTCAACAACCCCTTGAACTCTATTCTAAACATCCGACTCTTTGGTTTACAAAAGGCTTCGGCTTTGAGGAAGCAATTTGAAAAACACATAAGGTTTGAGGAAAGACTCTGTGTTGTTTTCAGCTCTGGCAATCCCTGGTACCGAGTGCGGCCTTTGGAGTCGACATACTTGCGGCATGTGGCCTTTTTAGGGCCTGGGGATGATGCTGTCGATGACCTTTTCATGGCAAACCTCATTACATTCTTGATGGATGGCGAGCTGGACACTAGTGATGTTGGCTTCGGCGTCTTGCTCGCAAAGATACGCATCCAGAAGTCTACTCGACATACCTTGGCTGCACCACCAAGTTAAGTCACCTGGTGCATAGACAAAAAAGAAAACATGTTGTATAGAATCTCAAAAGGGATCTCATCATTCAATTTGAGCGACCTTCCGACCTAGCTCAGCGACGGTCTTGAACACATCCATCATGTACAAGAACATCAAAGAACTTCGGGGGTTCTCCAAAATAAAATGCCCCTCCATTGCCATACAGACCAGTAGCAGGAGAGAAGTCCTGCGGGCTTCAAAAATCTGGAGAATCTTGAATCTGAACAAACCATCTCAAAACTAGTGTTTCCATGTTTTTCCCAACTCCACTCCGGCAGACCATCTTGTTGCCACGGCGGTTGGCTGTTTTGGTCGTGCATCCCTGTGGAACTAGCAAACACCGTTGTGAAGTTCCCCGGTTCACTGCGACCCACGGCGAACACACCGTGCCCAGCACCATGACCAGGCCAAAAGAGGCCTGAAGGCAAAGAGCGATGCAAAGCCTCAGAAAGCCGATCGATCAGGCACGTGAGATCGAACGGGTGGCGTTCAGAGACTGAATGAGCCAAATAGAAAACAATCAACCGAAACAAGTAACAATTCAAAAACGAGACACGAAAATCCAATTTCTCCGTTCATGTCCATTGTTTGCCTCTTGTCAAAGTGCTTCCTTCTCTGGCTTCTCTTTTTGGGACGATGGGTTTTACCAATGTTGATGCCAAATGAAGCCACCCGAAACCCTGCTAGAGCAGCCAGAGTGGAAAACCTCCCTCGCCCACAAAAGAACTCGATGATTTGCCATGGTTTCGAGATGGCTTTCAGCGGAAGCCATGATACAAGCAGTATCAGCCAAATCAAATCCTTAGTGCTACAGGCTACAGGGCTTTGGTGGCGGGGAGTCTGAAAAGCTGTTCGAAACAGTTCCTCATCATTCCTCATCAATACTGCTAGCCAATGTTGAAAAAAGCTTCGGTAGGGGCGTCCATGGCCAGCAAACGGCGAACAACCAGATTGACTTCATCAGGCGTCATTGCTGGTCAGTGGTGCTCACTTGTGTATAGTGCCACGTTTGAGCCTCTAATTTACAATCGATGGTCCATGGTCAAACAAAATCATCAATCCATCGATTCCAGCGTCAGATGACATACATGGCAACTCCTCAAGCCTGCCAAACATGCAGGTTGCACCTTCTGGGATCGAAGCAAAGAAGCCATGGCTGGCCAGCCAACTTTGTCCGCGCCTCATTTCTCGCAGAAGTACCTGCGTCAAGTTCCGGATGGAAGGGGCCAGTGAACTAACTACAGCGAAGCTATTTGGCACCCCAGCGGGGGTGCCCGGTGGAAGTTTGCACTCATAAGATTAAAGAAACATTGCTTTACGGCCCCCATTTGTTCACTATCATAGACTGAATTTTGCAGATCTTTTCCGGGTGAGGCCGGTCAGGTTGCCATGTCTATTTAGCTCATGCCAGCAGCACGCGATAAAGCCCAGCCCAATCCATGATGCATCCATTCGCTTTACGGAGTGGTTACTCTTAGCTTACTAATGAGTCTTTCGGGCCAAGCTTCTTCACTCCTAAGCGCTGGAACTAAGAGCTCTGTCACAAAACCTGCGGTGACTGCTACTCTCCCACCGGGAGTCCGGGAACCCCCAATCACTGCACTCACTGATCCCGAAGATAGTCACGCGCGAGAGCAGACTGCAAAAAGGGCTTCACTTGAGCACGCGCAATGTCCGCGTAATCGTGGTCAGAGCCATCAGGCTGACTCTGCAACTGCTTGCAGGTAAAGTTCCACCAAAGCAACTGCAGGGTTAGGTTTCCAAACAACTGGAGTACGGACCACCACAACCCCCTTAATCTAGCCCTTACTTTTTGCATTCTGTGTATAAACATTCCTGATTTCAGAAAAAAGCAAGAGTGGAGAGTTGAAATACCAAGAGAGGTCAAAAGGCCTTAAAGGACAATGCGCCCTCCAATTGCGTGTTGGAGGTCCTATAAAGCCTACCAAGAGAGGTCAAGAGGATGCAAAACTATACAGACGGTAAGGGTCCTTACCGTCTGTATCAGTTTTGTGTCCTCTTGACCTCTCTTGATATAATTTATAAGAACCAATGCACCTCCACTCGACTCCCGGACTTGACCAGAGGCTCGATAGCAGTCCTGTACGCCGAGCAAAGGGCATTGAACCGACCCAATGCTGCCTCATTCGACGGTGGGTAGCGGCCAGCAAAGGTAGCCTTGTCAGCATTCTTTTTCTTCGGGCCCTTTGCCCGTTTTGCTGCATCTTCCTGGTGAGCCGGGTCGGGTGTCTCCTCTGAGGGTGTCTTGCTCTTCCTTGCAGGAGTGTTGAAGATTGCCCTCTTTGGCTTCTCAACGGGCTGCCCTTTGGCTTTTGACTTGGCTTGCCCTTTGGCTTTCGCCTTGGCTTGCCCTTTTGCTTTCGCCTTGGGTTGCCCTTTTGCTTTCGCCTTGGGTTGCCCTTTTGCTTTCGGTTTGGCTTTCCCCTTGGCTTTCGCTTTGGGCTGCCTTGTCTTCTTTGTCTTCGCTTCTTTTCCCTGTTCTTCCTCAGCCAAGGCTTCGAACGTTGTTGTCAAGTCTCTGCGGGCCTCATCATCATCATCATCATCATCGGTCCTGGCTTTCTTCTGTGCTGGCAGAGGCTCATCTTCATCTTCCTTTTGGCGACGTCCGCGGCCACGGCCACGACCCCGTCCACGTTTTGACTCTGCTGGCTCTTCTTTGTTCATCTTCTGCACATTGGTCTTCATTTTCTTGAATGCTTGCTGGTCCAGTCTCGTGACTGTTGGCAATGCAGGACCGCCGCCGCTAGAATCAGAGCCGTCTTCATTCTTCAACTCTTCGCTCCTCTTCGAAGCTGCCGAGCCAGAGGGCACTGTTTCCTCAGGCTTCTCTGGGCCCTTGTGCTCCAACTCTTTATTTTTCACCTTCTCTTCAATGACCACTGTTTCCTCGGGTTTCTCCGGATCCTTGTGCTCACCCTTTTCGATCTTACCTTTCTCAAGATTCTTTGACTCTTTCTCCCCTCCCTGCGCCTGTTCACTATCAGACACTCGAGGCGGCTCAAACTGTTCTTCCCCACCGAAGCCATCCACGGTCTCCTCTTTCTGCCCAGCATGCTGGGCAACTTCACCAGAGGCAGGCCCGGCATCCCCCGCCGGTGGTCCCCCAGAAAGCCCAAAGCCTTTGCCTGACGGCGACTCACCAAGAATCAAAGTTCGTGCCTTGAGCAGCTTTTCCTTTTCATTTTCTTCCGCGTGAGCTTCAAGCACATCTTGGGTCTTCAAAGGCCCAGCCTTAAGCAACTGACTGGAGGTTTCCTCCACAGGAGCTGCAGGTATGTACGTATCCTTGGGCTCCATGGGCACAGCCTCACAGGACTTAGCCGCGTTGGCATTCTCCACAACACTCTCAGCTGCGGTCATATCTTGGGTATCCATGGGCACAGTGTCCACCATATCCATACCTGACCACCGTGGCGTGGATGGTAGGCAACAAAAACTCTTTGCTAGGCTTCAAAGATCAAAAGGATTCAAGGGTCCTTCCGCCAACCCTGCAACGTTCTGCATCCATGGTGCATGGGCCAGCGTTTTCTTTTGCCTGCCGAGGTTGATCTGGCACTTCAGGAGCAGCTTCAAGACAAAGCCTTTGTTGCGGCAGGCAGTCTGTTGCGGCGACGTGATACGCTACTGTGGGTCTTATTCAAGGTTGGTTATAGCTGGTTTGTTCATACACAAAAAAGGATCAAAACCAGGTAAGGGACCTTAGGGCTTCAGCACGTGCTCTGATGCAAGCCCGAAGTTCTTCAGGGTCAGTTGGCCAATGGCTTTCCGCCCCCAAAAGTTTCGAGGGAAGAGTTTCTGGCATCTCCAATTTTGCATCCGATCGATGGGCTGGCTCCACCACTGGAACCCTGTCTTCGGGTAGCGCTGGAAGAGCTGGGGCCGAACTTGTGCTTTCGGGTACCACTGGGTCAGTGTCCTCATCGTCCGGGTCAGAATCACACGCATCGTCATAGCCATCGTTGGCAATGGGTCCAGACTCAGCCCAGTGACGCTCGAGGATGGCGAAAAAGTTCTCCAGATTTGGGTCCTTAATCACGGTTTTGGAGCGGTGACCCTCAATGAAAATAAGCGAAGTAAGGTTCCCCAGAATTAGAAAGGAAAATTGTTTAAGGATAAAGCAAGTCAAGTCTCCTTTGTGCTGGTTCTGGCAAGAAATCTCCTGATGCCATGGGAAAAGAGCTTCTTCATTCCGCTTGCATCCATGTGACAGGCCACTTGGTTTTCGGTCTTGCCGGTAAGCTCCCTGAAGAATGCCACCTAAATGGGGGGTGTTTGGTTGAAACATGGTGGTGGATGGGCTCCGTCTGAATCACAACATCTTGTGAACATGAGTGTTTCAACCACCCCACCTCCCTCCTCATCACGTTGATGTTGACGCATTTTGCGATGGGTTGCACCGGGCAGTACCACTCCGCAAGCTTTTCCAAGGCGGTGACGTTCAATCCCATGGCTTTCACCGATGGGATTCCTATTGCCACATTCTTGGTCTTCGGGTTTGTGACCCAGCGAGTCAAGTAGGGGAAGTCCTGATCCATCATTCGTGCCCTCAAGGATGACTCATTTTCCCAAAGCTTGGCCAATGTGCCCTTGGCCAGGCGCGGATCACTCCACACGTTCGGAGCTGAAGGCGGGCCCTGTTCGGGTGGTGGTGCCGGGTCCATGGTTGAAACAGAAGAGCTCGGAAGAGCTGATGGTGCACAAGCCGAAATGCTAGTGAGTCAGGTTCTCACTGAAACAAGATTGGCATAACAAGCCCACGACTCTTTTATACAAACGTTTACTTCCGCTTTGATCGCTCGAGCTGACGGGCGCACGTGGCCAGGTGATCATCGCGACGCCCATGGTGATGGCCAAAGACATGGCATCCGTGGCATCCATAAATCGTTTCAATGTTGACATGCATGATTGGAGTATGTTATGGAAACATGCGATGCCAATGACGGTTCACCCAGTGGAACGTGTGCTTGATGCGGGTTGAAAAGTCCAAGTGGGGACTTCTTGGGATCAATGAGATTGCCAAGAATGCAAAAATCAAGGAAACGCTCGAGGACGGAAAAAAACGTTCGCACTGCCCAAAAGCAGTTATGCTCCAAAAGACGAAAAAAATGAAGCACTACGATGTTGTAGGGATTGCTCAGTGGATGTAGGAGCTTTTCTTTCAACTCCCCCTCACATAACTCTACAAGGGGCACACTAGCTCCATAACCCGCCGGCGGCAAACCAGGCAGGACCTGATCCAGCGTCAGACGTTGCCCTTTCTCTACTATCTCACCTTGATATGAGATCCTCACATCGCCAACCTTTCGCCCCCACTCCCCCATCTCTGGGGAACGGGGCACCTTTGACTTTGTCTCCGAGCTATCATCTACAAAAGCCTTCACCATCTCCCATATCCGATCCAAGGCCCTTGCCTGACTCACACTTGTGGTCCCTCTGTGAACCTTTGCTTGCTTTCCTCCTCCTGTCCACAGAAAATTCAGCACCACCACAGCCAGGCAATGCCAAATGAGTAGACCTGCTCGTCGTGCATGTCGAAAGGCCTTCCTGTCTGTGCCTCCGAACTTCCTAAAATCTCCAGACTCAAAAAGGCTCCTGAGCTGTTCCTTCCCATCGGCCCAAAGCGGCAGGGGCAGAACTTCCCGCTGTCTCCCCCTATTGCCGTCGTCAGACCCCGGCTCGATGGACCTCTTGAGATACTCGCCCAGGTTCGTCCCACTTCGCATGCACACCAACGCCAAGAGTCCTCCTGTTTGTGAGATGCTCATACCACCACATTCTTCACCTTTTAGCCAACGCTGCATTATTGCCAAGCTCTCCTCAACTCCAGCTTCAAGATCAACACTCTTCAAGCTTTCCCAGTCTCCATCACTCTCCTCGGGGTTGGACTTCGCTGGAAGGGCCTCGCTCCTTTCCTCACTGGATCCTTCTCCACTGTCCTCCGGCTTCTTCCAGCCTCTTTCCTTCTTCGGCCATACTGCCTTCTGCCAGGCGGACCGCCGCTGCCTCGCGGAGGACGACCCTCCGGGTTTCTCCACCGCTCCTTCGGGCCGTCCTATCTCTCTTGGCTGATCGTCGAAATGGACTCGACGCGCCAGCTCGGGGCTTTTTGACCTCTCCTTCACCTCTCCCTCACCGGCCCCCCGCCGCCTGTTTCCTATTTGTTCCCCCGATTCTTGTTCATCAGCTCCTTCAACTTCAGGCTGGCGGCCTCCTGCTTTGCCGCCCTTCTCCTCTCGCTCTCTGACGTCAAGCTTGCGGCTTGAGGGGGTATCAACTCCTGATGCCGTGCTGACATCCAGTTGCTCTCGACCAGACTGGTCTCTAGAGCCTTCAACCGCTGCATCAGTAGGTCTCCTAGCTCCGCCAGTTCGCCCATGATCAGCATGTCGATGGCGGTCCCGAGGGTGATGAGTTCTCGATGACTTCTCACTCCTATGGCCGGAGGCGGGTGCTGAACCAGTACCACCTGATTGATGTATGCCATCATCTTGTAACTCGACCAACTTTCGTCTCCTCCTCCGCTTTCGGCTCGACTCGCCAGGTATCGACTCAGCTCCTTCATGCCGCTCTTTAGCAGCTGCCCGGGGTTTCTCTTTGAGAGCCGCCACAGTTCGTCCTCCCCCCGGGTGAAGGGCTGTCGAAAACCTCGTGACGACTCTGAGCTTCGGCTCCCGCCTGATCCACTTCTCCTCTCACTCGACGATGCTCTCCTCTTCTTTCTCCCCCGCCGCCTTTTGCGGCTCCGGCTCCTGCCTCGGCTTTCTTTCTTCGCCTTTTCCTCCTCCTTCTTCAACTGTTGCTCACGCCTTTCTGCTGCCCTCTTTTCCAGCAGGGCTCCAACGGACCCTCTCGGCCCTCTTTCTCTCTCACCACGGCTCTCCTCCTTCTTCTCCTCTGGCTCTAAATTCTCAGTCACCGCTTTCTTTGCCTTCTCCAGGGCCTTGTCAATCCCTGTCGGGTCTTCGAAGGTCTCCACTTTACCTTTTGCCGCTGGGCCCCCTGCTGGTTCGGGCACACGGGGTGACCAGGCGTCTATGAAACTCACGATGCCCTCCAGAGCACGCTTCTTTGAGTACTCCATGTCATACATCATCAACGGATTCACCAACCTCCACCTGCTGATGTGTACCAGCTCTCTTCCATCTCCTCGCGCCAACTTGATCTTGCACTTCTTTCTGTCACAACTGCACAAATGGTACAGCCCCTTTCCTCTCATCAGGTAATGCTGGCCATACCACTCATAGTACCCGTCACTTGCCACCAAATGATCTCCTACCAAAAATCCTCTACCAACTTCGCTCCAATCCTCAACTCGGAGGCATGCCTTGCCCTGAGCTCGGCCATTCCAATCATGGCACTCATACTCCATCACCATACCCTTTCCCAGAACTGACTCTGCATAGCTCAGGATATCGTCATGCTCCTTGGCATCAACCCAACTCATCTGATGGGGCAGAAGGCCACTTTGTAACACCTCATTCCAATCCTCAAGGGTTCCGCCCTTTTTGAAAAATCGTAACTTCTGATTCTCCATCTCAACTTTCTCAACTATCTCCTCTCTCCCTTGCCTTCTGTCTCAGGTCCTCCGGGCTCCTGCCCGAGAGGGATAGGACCCTCAGGGTCCCCTCCTGAGAAACCGGTGGCAGAGAGTTGCGGAACCCCAGGATGTGGCCTTCTCACACCCCTCAAACCCTCAGTAGCCTCTGGGTCCCCCCACTCCCACGAGGGAGCCAGGGGTCTCCAGAGGCCCAAACTTGGCCACTCCTCAGCCTCTCACACCACGAGGTGTGCTGAGGCTAAGAAGTGGACCAGCCAAGTTTACTTTAGACCACCTGACCCCTCACCACCTACCCCACAAGGAGGTCGGGTGGGAGAGGTCAGGCAGCCCTGACTTCAAAAGCTCCGGTGGAACCAACATTCAGGCATGCTATCCGATATCCCCTTGGGAGAACACATACAGTACATCTCGAACCCATGTTTTAGAACGCTGTCACCAACAACCCATCGTGTCCTTGTAGGCGTTGTTCATATCTTGCCCTGGATAACATAAGAGATCATGTCTTCGCGGCCCCCACAAGCTGGGCTCCTTCTCTTCCCATGGGATATTCAAGTAACCTCTCCAGCCCGCCAGCCCAGAAATTCATGAGGGGCCTTTTCATGGCTCCCTAGTCTTTGCGAAGCCGCTCTTTCATGATTATCCAACGGTGATTGCCTGGTCCATGTTGCAACATGATGCCATGCCATCCTGCCATCGCGTTCCGAGGAAACCTCGCCCTTGGATCGTCCCTCTTCAGCACCCCTTCCTGGATTGATGTGGGTCACACTGCGAAAAAGCTCCGTTCGTAGAGTCCGAACGCTCCGTTCGTAGCGATGCCCTTTGTTCCGTTCGTAGCAAACAAACCATCGACTTCCCACCGGCACCGGCCTTTGCCGATCTTGGTGCGGCTTCGGACCATCTTGCCCATGCGGATCCTGGGCGTTCTGCGGATGCCCCAGTCTGGACATCCGGACTGAGCAGATGTCTGAGTTGAAATGTCGAGTAAAAGCGGACGCAGTTGTGGTGGTTTGGGTGGTGTTTGTACTGGTCTTCACTCCAGTTCCCGAAGCGAGGATGAGAGACAGATTTCCATCCGCAGGTTTCGTTGGGTCCTGTTTTTCTTGAGACGGGGCAGCACCTGTGTTGGACTCTTTGGGTGGACTGATCCATGTCACCCTTCGAAACCGTATTTGATCTACACTCCCTGGAATCATCATGGACGTGGAAAACCACCTATATTTGTAGAGGAAGTGGTCATCCAAGGGCCAGTTCCACTTCCATGATGATTCAGACTCTTGATTGGTCAAGCAAACCCCTCAAATTTGGGGGGGTCACTTGTCAATACTGGTGCCTGGCAGCTTGCGGCTTGCGGCCCGACACCAGGAATCAAGGGCCCCAGTGCATGAACAGGCCTTGGAGACCAGATACTGCAAACGTATGCAAAAGTAAATGGCGGTTAAGGGCAAACCACTACCTGCACCCACTGACACTCACTGACTCCTAAATGACACCGGCCCAACAAAAACAAATGTCGGGGTCAGCTGGTCCAAAGGGACCGCTGAAGCAATCTCAAGAGAAAACGGTGGACTAGGTCAAGAGTCTCAATTAAGCGAGGCAGGATGCCTGGCATGTCTAAAAACCGTGCCAGTGCAGAGAGACGCTTGAATTGAATGTGACGGTCCACATCAGAGCCAGCTCAGGAATGTCCAAAGCACCTTCAGGCGAAGTCCGACAGCTCGCAATGTTGGCAAAGAGCAGATGGGGCCTGGAAAGTCAAATGCACATGTGCGTGGCCTCCGGTTCCTGCCCACTTCGGCCCGCGGCAGTGCGGGGGCCATGACCGAAGGAGGCCAAAGGCGTGCCTTTGCAGCCCAAGTCTTGCTCCCATGGCACAGTCTCCCGCCTCTCGTGCGCCTCAACGAGGAAACCTCGGCTCGCGCACTCGATACGTGCCTTGAGACACGTATCCAACTTCGCCTGCAGCTGCGGTAGCTTCTCCTGTAAGTTGTTTGTCTTCATCACCTCCCTCTTGCCCTTGGGCATCAATTGCGTATCCATAGCCGCCCCTTCGCCGACGTATACATATTGGTTCTGCCCAATGGCTGCTTCGATTGCTTCCAGTCAGTGTAAAGGCTGGGAAGTCCTCATGTAGAGTCTGTCGACACATCTGCATTTCCCAGGACACAAGGCCGTTGGAGAAATATAGATGCATGGTGTCAAAAAGAACACAAAGCTGGGGAGCAGTGAGCTGCGGCACTGCTCCAGCACTCCCGAGTGTATCTGGATGAGGCCGGCCGTCGGCCTGGCCCCGCAAGTTCGCCGTCCACGGCCTGGAAGAGCTCCCTGGTCCGCCGGCGGCTTCAAAATCTTCACGAATGTATCCGAGCCCCGCGTCTGCCAAGCACCGGGGGTGACAACATTGCTGCATGTCCGACAGCAGCGGAGACGCTGCGGCACCCTGAAAGCCGAACACGGCCCGGGTGGCGTTGCCATGCCGTGCACCGGGCTCTTTGTGGATGAAACAGTCTCCAGGTGACGGAAGGTGCAGTGGGAATCCTGCAGGTTCCTTTTTGGAATTGGTTTGACTCTTGTACTCTCCTGCTTCTTCAACGCTTCACAACTCCCTGCGGACAGCAGCCGGAAGTAGAAACTTCATTTTCAGAAATCAATAACAAGATTCTCCGGCTCAGGTCATGGACTGTCCCAAAGGGAGGGTCAGCCTCTTGAGCTCACCTCACTCAAGAGTATGTGGCTAATTACTTCGTTTCATGGTCCAAAAGGACAGGCCACCCACAGGTGGCATCTGCTGTTCATTTGGCTTATTCGTTGTCCTTTGTTCAACCCCTTCGGATGTTGTTCCTCCCATCCTATTCTTGGAGACCATCCCTCCAAGAGAACCAAATTGTTCAATCTGTGTGCCTCCGGGTCGTCTGATAACTCTTATATTCCCTTTCCACGCTCGCTTTTTCAATCAAACAGAACCTATACACACTGGGGACCCCGACCTCCTCAAAATGCATGAGCTATGCTCTGCTATGCTATGCTATGCGCGCACGCGCGCGCGCGCTCTCTCTCTCTCTCTCTCTCTTCCCCTCTCGTTCTCTCGCTCTCTCGCGCTCCATCCCAACAGGAAGATGGAAAATAGATAACCCCAAGAAAACAAACAAACATGTAATAAAGGAAAAGGCTACATTGTGGCTGCATTGGATTTTCTTCTATAGATGCCAAGCTCTGGGAAAGTGTTTTAAAGACCTTAAGGCCACATGTCACTTCAGTGTTCCACCTAGGCTATTCCAACAAAGGGGTGAGTATAGACACCCAATAAGACAAGTAAAGGGTATAGAAGAGTAGACATCAGTGGACATTATCCTAAATTATTCTGGCATGTGTCATGCTTTCTGGGTGTAGTTTGTGCTTCTTGGAGCTGTTTGGTCTGGTGGGGTCTGACAGTTCAAGGATTCTGCGCCGCAGCGATGCCGGACGGCCTAGAACAGGCCAAGATCAGGAGCGGAGCCAAGCTCCAGCCTTGCTTTATGTCCAGTTGTGTCCTATTTAGGTCCGACCTTAAAAGCTCCCCAAATCACAGTGAGGTGCTAGCCTATAGAGTCAGCCGTAGCATGGTAGCCAAGTGGTCTTTCACATGCAAACAAGAAACACCCAGGACCCAAGCTCCTACCATTTGGAATTCTGAGCACCAGGATACATATCACCAGGATATAAGATCTTACCTCTGCAACGCATCTTGTGCGTTCTGGTGATATTCTTACTCTTCTCTTCCTTTTCCTTTTGCAACGCATCTTGTGCGTTCCGCCCGCTTCGGCTCCCCGGCGCCGCGTTCAGCATCTTCGCCACGATCTTGCCGCCCGACCTCTACGTTGGCGGAGGTCAACCTACCCTGGTTTGGGGATATGAAACTCAATCAGGCCAGGGGTGGTTGATGTCCAGGGTCAGCAAGCTGACTCAAAATGGAATGTTCTGCAAGGAAAGATGGGCGAATCATGGCGTTCATGGGATTTCTCATTTGGAGGCCCATTTGCAGCTTCACCCTGGATGCCGCTTAAATTCTGCGAGCTGTGAAGACATGAAACATCGCTGCACGACACCAACAAAGGGAGGGGTGAAGCGAGGGGGACCTGCATATTCATGTTCTGCCCTAGCTTGTAGCAATCACTTTGGGGCGAACAAGGAGGTAAAGACATACGTCTGGGCCATGATTGTCTTTCATCACTTGTTTGAACTCAGCACATGTCCAAACAAAGCATGGAAGACTTTCAAGCTGGGTGATGTTAGTCTTTCGAGCAGTGTTTTTGTATCGTTCATCGGCCTGCAGTTTGCTGGCATCTCCAACACTCAGAGCTCAATCATGTTGCTGGCATTTGCAGGATGATGTGGGCACGGTACAGCTTAGTCTGGTGGCTGCAGGACAAGCTGTCCTAATTGCTCTCAAAGAAATTCATTGACTATCGATCTTTATGTCGTGGCCCCCAACTTTTGAAAAGGAACCGGACGTATCCGGCAGTCATTGAATAAATCCAACTGCAAAAAGGAAAAACAAGTTAAACATGTCAAAACCAGCCGCGTCCTCGCAAAGCATCGCATGGTTCCCTGTCCTACGACTGTCTGAGGCCCTGAGGGTCCCCACCCAGCCACCGTCTCCTCATCGGCCTTCTGGATCGCGTGCCTCGGAAAGAAAACACGTCCAGATGCCGCCCTGTACACAATGAAGATCGAGACCCGAACGACGACATGCGTGTCGGTTTTGGGTGTGTTTTATTCCCTGGGCCCAGTAGATGATGGTTAGTTAAGGGCCGACATCTCGATACTTGTTTAACACAATGTGTTGCAATTAAACAAGGAGACCTGCGTGTGGGCAACGACCCCGTGGAAGAAGGAACATAGACCAGTCATGACCAATCCACTCACTGGGTACAGGGGATCATCTTCGCAAAATATATTGTAATATATATCCCTGCCCCCGTCAGCCATTGGGCGATCCG